ATACAAGGCAAGCATGTACCCACCATACTCTCTTCAGCGCCAGTTGAATGTTTGGTTTGTTTGTTTCTTTTATTTTGGGGGCCATAATAGGTGTGCTCAGGGTTTCCTTACTTGTTTCTGTGTGCCAAAGGATCATTTCTGGCAGGCTCAGGGGATCGTTTGGGATGCTGGGGATCAACCCAGGTCTGCCACATGCACGGCAAACCATCTCCCTTCTGTATTATCTCTCGCCCCTCCTGCAGTTGCTTTATTTTGAAGGCTAAAAGGTATCTGTGAAAGAACAATTGCTGAGATCACTGTGTGACTTAAACAAGTTAATCTTTCCTGTGCCTCACTTCCTTTATCTGTAACAAGGGGATATGCCTAATGCCTATTAGGGCTGCTTGTAGGCATTGCATTAGTTCGGACATGCAACAGAGCCTGGCCAAGATTTTGTGCTTGGCTTTTTATTTTGTAAGGGTTAGCTTTTTATTTTGTAATTGTTTTCCAATTTTTCTTCAGAGCCCGTTGACAGAGGACATACTACTCTCTTCTTTACAGGAGCATCTTCAGCCTGCTGAAACTCAGATCATGTCATTCTGAGGGTGTTTTTGTCTTTGTTTTCTTTTGTCTTTTGCTCTGTCTCATGCATCTGTACTTCACCTTCCTTCCTCTTTTGTAGAACTTCCCCCCCCCCCCCCCCGTAATTCATTCCCATGGATTCCATTTTCTTTTCTGTGATTATATTTTATCAGTTTGTATTTCTAGTTCCTCTTTGTCAATTCCAGTCTGTTTTTTTCGTAAAAAATTTTTTTCACGGAAAACCCCTTTTAATTCGGGGGTGTGTAGGAGCCATACTGAGCTATTCTCAGGTTTTACTCTTGTGTCTCTGCTCACGTCTTACTCCGGGAAGTGTTCTGTAGACGAGTGCCAGGGACTGAACTGGGGTCAGCCGCATATGAGCCAGTGCTCTTGCGTGTGTATTATCCAAGACCCCCAAAGCCTTACTTACTTTCTACTTAGGCACCAGAATTGACACTAGCATTAATGTTTTGGGACTAGAAATCTCTGTGCCACACACTCCATCAGAGTGCCAGTATTCCTGCCCCAGTGTCTCTTGGTCCCTTCTTGTTCTCTCTCACCCCTTGGAGCTGACTCTCTGATAACATTGGCTCTTACTTATTATTCCATTACTCTGTCTCTCTATCATTCACATATCAGCAGTATCATTCCATAGCCTACATTTTCAACTGTGTGCCAAAGTGCCCGCCCAATACAATCTCCCTTTCAAAATCAGCTCTTTGCTTGTCTTGTTAGAGGACCTGAAGATTGTCACAGTGTGTCATATGTTTAGGGATAAGGATATCAGCATCAGCATCCTGATAATCATGAGAGACAGTAAAAGCCAGGATATCTTTCCAGATCTCTGCAGTCTCGAGGTCTTCTGACACTTATTCTTTGTTTTTGTTTGTTTGCTTGTTTGTTTGTTTCGACTTCACCTGCTAGTGCTCTGGGCTTACTCCTGGCTCTGCACGCAAGGATCACTGATGGTGAACTTAGGGGACTATGTGGGGTGCAGGGGGAGGTACATGGGGGAAGTTGAACCTGGATTGACCTTGTATGAGGATCAAAACCAGAACCTCACACACTCAGGCACATGTTCTACTGCAGAGTTACATACTTTGCCCCTGTACAGTTTTTAATTTTGAAGTTTTTTTTTAAGGTGGTATAATTTTTTCCCTTGGAAATGAGTACTGGTAAATTAAATTTATGTCTTATAATGCAGAGGCAAGTAGCAAATTAACTAAATTAGAAATTATGTGGTACGATTTTAATTCAAATGTGTGTGTGGCGATGTGGTACCTGGGATCAAACTCGGGACCTTGCATATTTTAGATTTGTCGCTTAGCACTTAAACCACACCCCTGACTCAGGTGATAGTAGTTTTTAATGTATTTCTGAATTATCTGGAGACGTGATGGCAATCCTGGGAAAGATTTCTCTGATGTCTTTTCTTGTAGTCTCTTACAGTTAGAATAGAAAGTGTAGAAGTGGATTTCCTTTCATTGGCTAGCCTATAAAACATGACATTTTATATATTTATTTTGTATTTTCTGGGGTGAGGGGCCACAGGAATATTCGACTGACTGGGCTGGACGGTTCAATGCTTAGGCCCAGCAATGAGGTGCTGTTCAGACAGTCATTGCTGGGGCTCCAGATCATTATATTTTATATTGACAGAAATTAGCAGGACTATAGTTATATAAGTATGTATTAATGTAGTTTTATGATGTTTATAAATTAGACAATTGGAAGCATTTTCATTTGAGTTTACGTGTGTGCCTTGTAATACTTTGACACTTACCTTTATTTTCTTATGAACAATGACTCTATTTAAACACAGTTTCATTCCCTAATGGGTTTTGATCTTTAGGGATTAAACCCAGGAGGACTGTTAACCTAAGGAATGTAATTCAATTAGCTATAAATGATTTAAAACACACTAGTTATTCTGTTGGAGAGCATAGTATCTTGGTTTCCTTGTTTTTTTTTTTCTCCAGCTAATGAATAGTAATTACTTTCTTTAGGTAAATGGTTCATCTTTGTCTCTGGTATCTTCAAATAACTAACTCTGCACCTTTAAAAAAAGTTTTGGGCCAGAGGAATATCTTGCCTTGCAAAGGGTCAACCTGGTTTCCATTCTGGGGGAACCAGCTATGGTCCCCCGAGCAGAGTGCCCTGAGCACCATTGGGTGTGCCTTTCCCCTCCACCCCCAACCAAAAATCCAAACAAAACCCCAAATTTTTTTCCCTAATCTTTTAAAATATTTTAAGGAAAATTGGCAATTTTTTTCTATTTCAGGTCTTTTCCTTTGAAATTTAAATTTTATTTGGTTTGAAGATGTCAGTTTTTCTTATGTGAATGGGTGTGTGACTTAGAAATAAAAGCTATATCTGGGTTTAAAAAGGCCATTTCCAGGACTGACAATAGGTTGACTATGCTCGGCCTTGTGCGTCCTTGCCTAGGTCACGATTGTTTCCAAGGGCTGGCAGCCATTCAGGCCAGGTCTTGGCTCACTATACCCTTGACTCAGGTCTTCTGCTTTACAACCAGTCTAGCATTCTGTCCTCTGTTTACAGTCTGGTGCAGAACAAATAGCAGAAGATAATTATATTACTGGTAACACATCTCATACATAACTTTTAAGATGTTATAAACATTTAAAAGATGCTGTAAACCAATTGGCTTGAGTAGTTCATTCAATGTTTTTTTTCCTCTCACTCATCATTTTAGTTGAGTTTTAGGTCTTGATTAAGGCAGAGTGGCCAATTGACTTTTTTTTTAATACTTCCCCAGCATTTTTGGTGGCTATTCTTTTCCTTTTTTCATCATCTTTCTTTTAAAGTTTGCTCAAGAGCAAAAACATAATGAAAGCTTATGGTATCTGTAACCCAGTGTAATAAATTCAAGCCTAAGCAAGTTAACTCTAATTATAGGACTGCTTTCTAGAGAGGATGTCGACATGTTTTTAGGAAAGATTCAGGTAAAGCTTCTGTGAAACCTGGATTTCTGTTTCTTTTTCTTTTGCGGACTGAAGAGGAAGGGAAAAGGGTCATTTTACTCTTCTTCACTAATTTTATTTACTTGCTGCTCATTTGTATTTTGACCAAGTTTAAATTTACATAACAGTGGGACGCAGCCAGTAAACTTTACATTTTATCCATATCTCTTTATCATCTCCAGGAAGTTGAACATGGCTCAGAAAATTAGTTGGCATTTAAAAATTTTCATTCACCATTTATTTTTCAATTGTATCAGTCATTATAATGTTTGTAGTTTACCTTAAAGTTGAGTCATTGACAGAGCCTTGAAGCCTTGTTTGTTTGTTTATCATATGTCCAGTTGTTTTCACATTTTCTTTCATACTTCTTTCAACATTATTCTTTTTGTTTATTTTATTCTTAGAGTATTTTGCAGGGCCTTTAGAGAACAGTGCAGTAGTACTGTCCATTTTGTTGCCTTTTTTTTTATTTTGCTGTTTCCATACCTGGCATGCTGGGTCTGCTCCTGGCTCTGTTTAGTGATTACTCCCAGTTCAGTGCTCGGGACTACGTCGTTCTGGAGACTGAACCCAGGACTCCAGCCCTTGGAGCCCTCTCAGAGACACTACTGTCTTATTTACAGGAGGATTAGTGAACTCAAGTTTGTGCTGTGCTAGGCGCTTGGGGACTACAGGAATCTTCTGACTTTAGTTCTTTGACTCTGAGGCTTGGCGACTGAAGACCGGGGTTCTTTGTTATCTTTGTCAATTTACCATTTTTTTCCCAAAGGAAAAAATCAGGGGACTATTTTTGAAGCACTTACCACATAGAATTAAATTGACCCACTTGAAAATGCTCATTGATTTTTATTTTGTCTGCTTTTACAATTTTGGTAGATAGATTTGTGAATAAAAAGAAGTATAACAGTTCAAGTAATTAACTCTTTGACATGACCAAAATAGATACAGATTCTGGATCATTCTGTGCAACTGCCTTCCTCTAATCCCTATTCTATATTAAGAACTTACACAGTCCATGGCAATACTTGTAATAGGTATACGGTATTTAGAATGTATTTAATATCAGATAAGGTATTCTCAATTTTGTGAAGTTTTTAGTTTGAAAGAATTAATATAAACTTAGATTAAGTGACTTTTATAATTATATGATTGAATACTTACAATAAGCCATCTGAAATTTCCAAGTACATTTTTAGTCTCATTGCTGAATAAAGGAGTTCAATTATGATATTGTACTTTGTTCATTTAGCTTCATTCTTTAGGGAGATGAACCTTAATTTAAAGTTCTTTATGTTGTTAAAAACATTTATAAGTTTTGACAATAGGAAGTAATCATTTTGGGTTTTTTTTGAGTGGATATGCTAATTGCATTTATTGGATCATTCCTAATTCTCAATATTTTCCTATATTAAATAAATCACATGAAGTCAAAATTCTCTCTTCTTTTTCCTTCTCTAGCCAACACATATCTCTTCATGGTCCAAGCTCGAGGAATAATGTTGAAAGAAAATGTGAAAACAATAGGACATATGATAAGGTTGTACACAAACAAAAACTCTACCCTCAACGGTACAGGTAATCTCCTTCTTTCCTATCTAATCACTGATTTCTTCCAAGTTTATCTTGCTTACCTTTGTAATCTGAAAAGCAGTAAACCAAATCTCTTCAAACTTAAGTAGCTCTGAAAGATTAGGGTAACTCTACTATATAGAGAGTTTCTCTTTATTTCTTTCAGCCAGTATTGTTGCTAAATTTAAGATATAAAAAGTATGGTTGGTTGGGGCTGGAGCGATAGTACAGCGGGTAGGGCGTTTGCCTTGCACACGGCCGACCCAGGTTTAATCCCTAGCATCCCATATAGTCCCTCAAGCACTGCCAGGAGTTAATTCCAGAGTGCAGAGTCAGGAGTAACCCCTGAGCATCGCTGGGTGTGACCCCTCTCCCCCCAAAGAAAGTGTGGTTGGTGACAGAGATGTTGTCCAAAGGTGCTCCATAAGTCTTGGAATGTAAGTGAAATAAAAATAGGAGGAACTCATTCCTTTTCAAATCTATGCATTTAGAGAAATTAATAAGGGAATGCTTTATTCACAGAAGCTACTTTGCTGTTTCTCTTTATGTTAAGTCTGTTTCCTAAGATACTTATCCAACTATTTGTGGAAATTTTTTATTTTTAATGAATCACTGTGAGGTACAGTTAGATTTACAAACTTTTGTGATTATGTTTCAGTTGAATCATTTTTAGTGGATTATTTATAACAAACAATATAAAATAAATTGTTTCAGTTCTGCTTTGGGGCAGAGTTTGGGGTTCGGGATGGAAACATTTGAAATATGGTGGTGGGAAAGTGTAATGGTGGTTGGATTGGTGTTCAAATATTAAATGTAATAAATTATTTATAAACTTTATAAAATAAAATAAAATTTTAAAAAAGATATTAAGCCTCTTTAGGTTGCTGCATTTATATGAGTGCTAAAAAGTTTGTGCATAATCATGTTCTTTTCATGGGAGTTCAATAAGTAATATATCAATGTTTTTGGGTTTTTTTTTTTTACTTGTTGGGTCACACCCAGCGATGTTCAGGGGTTATTTCTGGCTCTGCAGTCAGGAATTACTCCTGGCGGTGCTTAGGGGACCATATGGGATGCCGAGGATTGAACCCAGGTCGGCCGTGTGCAAGCTTTAAGCCGCACAGACTGGTATTCTCAGTGAAACTACCCACTGTGCTATCGCTCCGGCCCAATATATCAATGTTTAACTGATTAGGAGAACTGATTACTTGGGCAAGATGAGTTTTTTTCCATAGAACTCCATAACTGCGGATGGGGCAAAAAAAAAAGAAAAGAGGAAATTCTCTTTTCCTTATCACCTCGTCATAGTTTCAATAGGACGAAACAGCTAACACACGCTTTCATTACTGTTTCGTTCCCCTCGACCTTGGAGAAGTTTGTACGTGAAGTAAAACTGTTTTAGGAGATAGTGATTGTATCAGAAATTGGTTTGGTTGTAAGGGACTCTTGACGGCAGTGATTTAAATGAATGCTTCCTTTCATAAAAGAAGCTTGGATAACTGGCTGTCCTGGAGAGAATCTTCAACCACTTCCTATTTTCTGTTTTGTCACAGAACTTCATGACCTAAGATGGATATTAGGACTATAGTGTTTGTATTTTCTTGTGAGTCAGTGTGCTGGGGTTACTCCTGGCTCATGCACTCAGAAATTACTCCTGGCAGTGCTCAGGGGACTATATCGGATGCTGGGAATCGAACCCGGGTCAGTCACATGCAAGGCAAACACCCTACCTGCTGTATTATCGCTCCAGCCCCCGGGATTACAATCTTTAAGCCGCACCAACTGGTGTTCTCAGTGAAACTGGGGCTCTGTTACTTAAGGAGAATGGGAACAGACTCTTAACAGGCAACTGACATCCTACCATGTTCATTTATATTGAAGTTTATAATAGTTAATATCTTAGTGGGTTAGAGAAATGACATTTAGACACATTTCCTCTAATTGAAAATTTTTACACTCTTGCAAGAGATGGCGAAACAGAAGTACTCCCAATGCAATTGCTTATTTCTGCACAGATGGATAGAAACATCACTGTCAAAAGGACAGTTTATGGCGAATAAGATGTATAGGGAGCTAATTGAGCTCTCTGGGACAAGTACTGATTCACTTTAACTTTAATACTTAGATCTTTAAAGTTTTCATCACAAGGGGCAGAATAAATAGTCCAAGGGGTAGAAGATCTGCCTTTCAGGCTGCTACCTCAGTTCTGGCCTTGGCACCACTATGATTTTCACCAGCAGTGATACCTAACACAGAAGTGTAGTAAGCCCCAAGCATGAAATAGAAAGTTTTCGTCCAAGAAAAATATTGTAACTGTGAGGTGATATGTGTTAACTAAATTTGTTGTCATCATTTCCTAACGTGTCTTAATGTAAATAAAGTGGAATATGTTTTACTTTTATTTTCAAAATTTTAAATTTTTTTAATTGAGTCACTGTGATTACAAAGCTGTTCGTGAGCAGGTTTCAGTCATACAGTGATCCAACACCCATCCCTCCTAGTGTCCATTTCCCACCACCAATGACCCCAGTTTCCCTCCAGCCACCCCATCCCTCAGCCTGCCTCCATGGCTCTGTGGCAGGCACTTTCCTTCTCTCACTTCCCCTCCCATTCCCGCCCCCCCCCCCCACCTCCTCTCCTGGGCGCTGTGGTCTGCAACACAGATATTGAGAGGTTACCATGTTCCTTTATCTAATTTCAGCATGCAGTTCCTATCCAGATTGATCATTTTCTACTATCTTTATGATTTCCAACTATCATTGTGACAAAGATAATATAACTCTTAAGTAAAGCAATGTTAAATGCTAATAAAAATTAGTTTACAAAATTCAAAATTTTAACACTTAATTGCAACTAGTGATATTTATAAGCACATTTTATTTAAAAATGAGGTTTTTAGCATAAAATGTAAGGTGATTATAATGTGTATATGTATATATTTTTTAAGTGAAGTGAGATAGTTTTACTTAAATTTTGTTAGAGAAATGTGAGGGTATATAAGAAGAGAGATACATGTAAAAGAGAGAGCATAAAAAACAATGTTTTTTGGGAGAAGGTTAATATGGTTTCTCAAAATTGTCTTAGGATACAAATTCTCTACATACATAAAAGCTAACCTGGGTATTGTCACAAGAGAAAAACCTTGGACTCTTGATGGTCCTTTATGTTCTTTTAGATTTTCCTATAGCGTCTCCTGATAACTTTTTTTTTTTAAAGACATCACATCCTCTTAATCAGGTGCCTTAATCAAATGAAGTCAGTCAAATTAAGAAAACTAGATGTATTCAGTGAACAGTTATTGAAGCAGATAGCAAGGGCCACACAGTGTTGGTGCTTGATTAGAAATATTCCAGTGCGTGTCCTTATCTGATAGATGCATGCTTTGAGTTTCTCAGATACTGCCAGACAGATATAGGAAACTAGAGGTAAACAGACTACAATAAATGCTCCTTAAGTTTTAAAGCCAATTTTAAGATGTTCTTTTGTATGAAAAACAAGAGCCACTGGGGGCATCTCCTTGGGTCTGACTGTCTTTTTCTCTTAAGTGGTTATGTCACTTAAGCGATGCTGAGTGGGGCCCTGGTCGGCCTTTTTCCTTCTGTGTTTGCCTTTCCCTTGAGTGTGGTCTGGAAGGTAGGAGGAGGAAGGCAGTGGGCTCAGAACGCATTGTGTTTTCTTCCAGTCATTAGATGAAATAATGTCTACATTTTACAGCAGTTGTGGTGTTTCAGTCTCAGATATGTCTATTATGTATTACCTTTTAAAGCTGCTCATGATTTTGAAAACAGTGGTTACACAGGATAGACCAAACCACTTTTGTAGAAATAATGATTTTGTGGGTTTATTACTGTAGAGTCTCTAACAGTTTAAATCAAGATTGGCTATATTATTAGTTGAGAGGAGTTTATTTGCAATATGTTTCTACTACGTTGTAGGTATTAGCTGTTAGAAAACAAAGAGAATTTGATTCTCAGTTAAAAGATATTCTTACTAGTGGCTGATTGATACATAAGTCCCATGATCTTATTCTCTTTGGGTCTTATTTTCCTTTTTCCTTAAGTGATAGTGGCCATTGGGTGGGCTAAATATCATTGGGCATAGGACTCAAGGAGTGTAGAGACATTTCCATAACCCTGACAATGGATCAAGGGTCAATCATAATCATTAGTAATTATGTGACCAAGAATAACACATTTAGCTAAAAAATTTTATATTTAAAGGAAGTGTGTATATTAAGATTGTAGCACTGTAGTACTGTACTCCCGAATGGAGACTCCTTATTACTGTGTTTGGCATATCGAATATGCCACAGGTAGCTTGCCAGGCTTTGCTGTGCGGGTGAGATACTCTTGTTCGCTTGCCGGGCTCTCCGAGAGGGGCGGAGGAATCGAACCCTGCTGGGCTGAGTCGGCCACGGTCAAGGCAAACGCCCTTCCTGCTGTGCTATGGCTCCAGCCCATTACGATTGTATGTCTTTATTTTTTTAAAGCTTAATTGAACTTTCAAACAAAGCCCTAGCTTTTTTTGTGAAAGTTTTAGTCATTTTAGCAGTGAAATAAAAAGTGAAAAAATAATTGTTGGTTCTTCCTGGGGAACTATGTCTCAATTTGTAGAAATGTCCAGAGAGCTTAAGATTTTTGTAAGTTGGATGTGAATTCATAGAATCACAGCATTTGGCTAGAGAAGGCGCCTAAGCACTAATGGCGATAATGAATAAATAATGGAGAATGAGGAATAATTTAAACTTAACTACTTGACATTACAAAATTACTTCAGGAGTTGCACGAGAATGTTAATATTTGCCTCAGGAATACAGACAATGACTCTTTGAGATACATAATGGCAGTGAACTCCCAGGGTTATTTATCTTCTATTTCCAGCATGGACAATCATGTAGTGTGTAGTGTATGCTCACTAGTTTAGTCAGGGACCCTCTAAATGGAAAAATATTTTTCTAAATAATACTTGTAATCTTATTTTTATCTGGAATCTCAGAGTCCCGGACTTCCTGGTCTTCAGCCCCCTTTTTAGAAAAAATTATTCAGCACCACTCCCCTGGAAAGATACCTTGTTTAATTGGAGAAAAAGCAAAAGCTCCTCGTAGTTGCACCTGAGATTCCTACACAGCCCTGGTTCACTCCAAGGCTCCCCTCATGAGAGGCCACTGTGGGTTGTGGTTTCCAGACTTGTCTCTCAGAGCTTTGACCCTCAAAGGGACTGACATATGATCTCTGGGTTCGAGTTCAAAACTCCTTGGGTTCTAACTGTCCTGCGTTGGGATTTGGGGCTCCTCTTGAACGTGCAGTCACTCCAAGCTGAAGGTAGTGACTGTGCACTGGCCAGGGATTGTTCAGGACACGGCCTCTGGGTACCTCATTGAAATCTGTAAGAGGAACCTCCTCTGCTCCAATGATAGTCATTTCTTTGTGAACTGCCCTGAAGCATGAAGAGGTAGAAAAGGAAGAAGACGGAAATGACCTTGTGTCTTGGCCTGTACCACAGAACTAGTATGTGAGGAGCAAGGATTCGAACCTCAGCATTTGATTTCAGTGCTCTCAGATAGTGCCTGCCCTATGCCACCTGACGTGCACAAGGGAAGGATGGTACATCTAGAGTATAATAGCTCCAGGGTTCAGGGGACTGCAATCCTGTTCCCTGGAAGGGGTCCCTTAAAGACCGAGCGAGAGTGAGCTGGATTAAAAGTCAGTTTGAGTGGGTAAATCACAGTGTTGGTGGTGGCGTGTTGGGGGAACTTGACTCTTGCCCCTCTGGACTTGAGGATGTGAGAGCCATTGTACCATCGCCATGTGGCTGCCGAGGACCTCCTCGACTGTGCCAGCCCTGTAGCGTCACCCCTTCATCCCATCTGGCTCAGCTGGCAGAGGGATGGGAGCAGGTGTCTCAGACCATCCTGAGCACCCCTCTTAGCTTCTGCGTGGATCAGGCCTGGCTGCTCTCTCCACTTGCCCAGGCTTTCCCCGGGGGAAATCATGCTGAGAGGCCCATTCTGAGAGTTTACAGCAGCTGTGTTTTGCTTCTTGTTCTTTATAGATAATTGCTTTTAAGTGTTTTTGTAGATTTTGTATTGTAGGCCTTCTTATAGTGATGCTGACATATTTCATACTAGGAACAAAGCAAAGGGCGATTTTTTGTTTGTAACTTTTCTTCTCTCTCTCCAAGATTATCCTGAAGGCAATAATTCAAGTGATTATCTTGTTCAAACAACAACATATCTTCCAGAAAACTTCACCTATTCACCATACCTCCCTTGCCCAGAAAAACTGCCTTACATGCGTAAGTGTCATCTAATTTTGACTTAACCATTTGCTTGTATTATAAAAATAGTGAAAGTCACACTAGGCTCAGATCATTATTGTTGGTGCTAATGTGCATATTATGCAGGATGTTAATTGACATTTTTTGGCGGGGGAGTAGGGGTTGAAAAGCATCTTTTTTGGGAAGGGGATTGATTGAAAAGCTGAGGAAAAGCTTACCAGAAATAACTTTTGCTGTGAATTTAACGTGTATTCTTATGGTTTTAAAATTGTTGCTTCTGGAGTTAAGTGGAAATCATCTGCCTCATAGGCATTGGGAGGGGTGGGAGGGGGATATATTGGGGTTCTTGATGGTGAATAATGAGTACTGGTGAAGGGAGAGGTGTTTGATCATTGTATGACCGAGACTTAAACCTGAAAGCTTAGTAACTTTTCCCACAGTGATTCAATAAATAAATATAATAAGAAAAATAAATAAAACTATGAAAAAAATTATTGCTTCTGTTAATATTATTTTGGGGAGTTGCTAAGGATTGAACCCAGGGCTTCACACATGACAAGCCTGACAAGCATGACATTCCTCACCCCTAAACTTTTCACAGATGGAAAAATCTGATGTTTCAGAATTTTAAGGGGTTTTAAACTTTTTAATTTTTTTATCAGTGGTCTTAAAATTGCATTATGTTGGGGGGCTGGAGCAATAGCACAGCGGTTAGGGTGTTTGCCTTGCACGCGGCTGACCTGGGTTCGATTCCCACCATCCCATATGGTCCCCTGAGCACCGCCAGGGGTGATTCCTGAGTGCAGAACCAGGAGTGACCCTGTGCATCACCAGGTATGACCCAAAAAGCAAAAAGAAAAAAAAAATTACATTATGTTGTATTACTTGTTTTGGAAAACTGTTTTGAAAAACTACCAGTAAATTAAAAAAAACCTATAAAAACTATGTTTTGGAAAACTATCTTTGATAATATGTACAGATTTATTTCCCTTAACTAATGTGTAGTGTCTTTGAATAAATGTGCCATATTTTATTTGGCTCCATTCCTAAAAAAATGTTTGGAACTTAGATGGTTTTTGCTGCCTTATTCTTGCAAAGCAGTGCCATAAGGAGCAGCCTGGTGTTGGTTTCCATGTGCATATGTGTGTCTGGGCTTGAGGGTTCATGCTTAGAACTGGAATTGCTGGCTCGGCTGGTTGGTGGACGCCAGGCAGCTGTTTCATTTTATATCCCCAGCAGCAAAGCATGAATGTACTTCTTTCACACTGATAGGCTTACATATTTTGGCTAACCTTATAGATAAATTTATGACAAAGAGAGATCTCATTTCAGTTTTCACATTCCTCATTAAGAGTAGGTTTGAATAGTTTTATGTGCGTTTATAAGTAGTTTTGAGATTCTTCTCTTGTGACTTGCTCAGTCATCTGCTTTATTAGTCCTTCATTGGTTAATTAGATTTTTATATTGATCAGTGGGAGTTCTTTATATGATTTCCAACAGTGACTGCTTGTTGCCTGTTGCATGTGGTAATATTTTTCCACAATCCCTGGCTTGTCTTTTCATTTGGTTTATTGAGTCTCTCATTTAATGAGAAATTTGAAATTATGTCATTTTCAGGTGTACCTATATAGCATTCAGGGATTTTGCGTTTTTTTTTTAAAGCTTTCCAGGGCCAGGGAGATGACTCAAAGAGCTGTATGCACATATTTTGCATATAAGGAGCTCATGTTCATTCTCTAATACCAGGAAGTTTCTTCAGCGCAACTGGGCTCCCCGACTCCAGAGTTAAAGCTTTCCTAATTCCATAAAATACAAATACTTTAAAATTTTTTTCCAGTAATTTTGCAGTGTTATTTTTCAATCTTATGTACATAAAATAGAGCTTAGGATACTGTATTTTAAGCTTTCATCCCCTCAAATCACAAAAATAATGCTGTATTGAAAAAAAATCTTGGGTTATGGAGGTAGGGCAATTCTTTTTTGTTCATTTGTTTTTGTTTTGTGGGCACACCCAGTGACACTCAGTTTACTCCTGGCTCTGCACTCAGGAATCACTTCTGGCAGGCTCAGGACCACATGGGATGCTGAAGGTTGAGCCCAGGTCAGCTGTGTGAAAGGCAAGTGCCCTACAGCTGTACTACCTCTCTGGTCCCTGAATTCTCATTTCTCAAACGTTCCTGAGCAGTGTTGGTGCTGCCAGATTTTAAAACCTCCCTGATCAAAAGGAGTAGGTCTCATCCCTAATGACAAATAGCTTGAGAAGGTTCTATAATTTGGGAGCACGACCTATAAATTTCTGATTTTATTATTCTGACCTGGAAATATCTAAATTTATCAGTGATATTAATCTTGCTAGCTTCTTACTGTTCCATTCTAGAGAATGAAGCTGTGATTTCTGGAGTTATCTTTTTGTCATAATTTTGTTATTACAGCCGTGGCTTTCTAAAAATGAACGTTTTTGTCTGGGTAGTACTGACACCACTGAGTAATGCTCCATTGAAATATTGATTACATTAATTTAATTTTCATAATTTGTGTATTCAGGGTTTATAGTTTGAGGAACTCTTTCTATTCTTGGTTTAATTGTCATTTAGTTAATTAGAGCTTTATGAGTGCTGATTAAACTGTTTAAAGGCAGCTGCCTGCCAGCCTTCACGCTACCACTCATCTCCTTCGGTCCTGTAACCTGTTGGTTTCGCTGTCCCGGGGCTTGAGATGGGGCATGACTGTTACTCATGCCTCTTCCCTGTGTGTCTCGATGCTTCTCTCTGCCTCCCTCCTCTTCCCTCAGTCGCACACGCTTCCGCAACAGAGGGTCCCACGGGCTTGGCTTGTCGCCTCTTCACATCCGACCTTCCCACAGGCTGCTGGCTTTCAGTTCAGCTCCGATCTTTCATTGATTTAGCTGAGCCTGGGCTGGCATGGTTATGAGGAGGAAATGTGGTCCGATAACTCCTTGGAATGGAACCTGGGGAACAGGAAGCCTGGGACACTTCTTCCAAGGGTCCGGACCTCAGCCCTCCATGAGAGCCCTTTCCCCAGCACTGTGGCCTCTGTAAAATGGAGCCTCAGTTTACCTATCTGGGAATATCAGGATTAAAGGATCAATGTTGGATTCATGTGAAGAGACACTGAAGTACAGTGCTTAAAAGTATGATGAATTTTTTTTCCCCTTTAAATTTTTTCGAGTGCCAGGGGCCTCATTCATGGGAAGGGTGCGCTCTACTTTTGAACTGCATCCCTGTCCTATGTTTGGTAGATATTATTTTCATATTTTCTCTTACTCACTTGAATGATAGAACCAGGCTTTGCAGTGCTCAGTGGAATGAGAAACCTGGGAGAACTGTGTGGCATTAAGGAATATTGGACTGAACTGTGTGCCCTTCAATTTTTTTTTTGATTAGCAAAATTATTTTTCATCAATGTTAGAGAATATCCTAGTAAAATACCTAAGTGTAAAATCTTGTAATATTACACAAAATAATTAAACATGATACCTCAAGTAATAGTTAAAGAAAACCTATGGGAGAATAAATTCTACTTCATAGAATAAGATCTGTCATTAAGTTTGAATGGTATTTACTTTTCCTATAATGACCAAAGGTGAATTTGAAGCTTAAGTTTGATGTGATTATCAACTTTGCAGCTTCTTTTTGATTTTTTCAAGTGTGTCAGTAGAATTATTTCCATAAGGAGAGACTTTGAATTTGTTTAGTTGGAATTTAGATAAAATTTTGTCAGTATTCAATTTTGTATTCAACCATTTATCCTGTGAAGTCTATTTTAATGTGTATTATTACACAAGTGAATATTTTATTGTTTCCAGTAGTATTTAAAAACCCAGTGAGGTAACAGTCTTTCAGCTTATTTAATTTATGTGAGACTTTCTTTCCTAACACAGTAAAATAGAAATTGTACTTTATTGAGAGTTAGTGTGATGTTTTGATTTTTCCAGGATGGAAAATATCAGCTGTGCACTTTGCATTAAAATAGTAGTTTTTTTCTACTTTAAAAATTCTTATTCAAATAGGATATATGTACAGTAAATTTTATATAGCCCATACTTGATGCTTGCTGAATTTTTTTTTATGGTGTAATCCTGGCCATTTATATAGTTTTTAATCATGAACATAACCAGAACTACATGGGCTTTTTTGAGATAAGTTTAAATCAAATGGAAATAAGCAAAGAGGGAAAAGATAAGCAGATAAAATGCAAAAGAAGTTACAGGCTTAATGTGACAAATCATCATGCTGGTATTTATTGTTAAAAAGAGAGATGGGTGCCATTTTACAGGATCAGACGCATCTTGAGCACTGACTGAATCGAACCCTGTTTTGTTCACAGGGCCAGGGAGAGGAGAAACCAAACTGAATTGGATTCTCTGTACCAGCAAATTCTCGGTATCTGCACTGGCAGAGAAAGGCAGGCACTAACTGCTGTGAGAAGATTGTTAGGTGACAAACACGGATGTCTGTGGGTCATAGTTGGATCTGAGGTAGATTGAGAGACAGGGCACCGTGGAGCTGGATCTCCCTACTGATGGGTCAGTAGGTGCTCGAGGGAGCAGTGTCAGAACATTCTCATGAAGGGCTCTGTGTGTGTTGTGGGAACAGAGTAGTCCCTTGTGATGGTGTGGCAGGGTTCTGGCACATGAGATTCGACAGACAGAGAGCTGACTAGCTTGAGGGCTCCGTATTATTAAATTTCCATTCGCCGAATTCAGAGGCCTTCCTCACTGCCTCGTTGAACTTGCTTCCTCTGAGGTATGTGATCAACAGAACACTCCCAGGAGGTCTGTACCAGCAAATTCTCAGTGTCTGTAGTGGCAGGTACAGTTTGTTGACTCTCCCTTTGTCAATTAGAAAGGGTTCAAAAGGACCAGAGATCTTGAGCTTTCAAGCAAAGGGTTGATCTTTGGGGCCCTGTGTTTATTTCTCTAAAGTGGTAGTAGATTGTTCTCAAAAGATACAGGAGACAGACAAACCACAAACAGTGCTTTAGGGAATGTGCTGCTT